GCGCTTGGGCGCTATTTCCGGGCGCTTGAGCGCCAAATTTCTGCTCCATTTCTTTATTTACTTTGCTTCAAAAACTCTTTTTTCATCCTTTCATCATTCCTTCAACCAAAACACTAGCAAACACATTAAATTCGTTCGATAATCAACATATTAATCAAACAAATGAAGCTCCAATGGTATAAAATTCATGTGCAAAACACACTCATCAGAAGTAGAAAATATAATATATAAAAAGAATATCGATAAATAGAAAATTCGTCTTAAGATTGTTAGTAAAATTTTGGGATGATATTCTTTATCTGTATATAGTTGACAATAAAATCTTACTCGGAGCTTATGAATTTGCCCAGCACAGGTGCCGATGGTGGAATAACAATCATCTTTCAAGATACAATGATCTCTTATTGTGATTGTAGCAATTTGAGTCACAAGAAACATCGAATCCGAAAGTGTTTGTACTCTTTTCTTTTGTGAAGAGATTTAATGCAAAGAGATACTTAAATGCAAAGCAAAATATGAGAGATATGGAAGATGATGATATGAATTCTGTAGAACATAGGGGTCTTATTTATAATAAGTCAAAAGTTGTGTCTGAAAAGAAACAACTCATATGTTATGCCTTGTCTGAACTGTCACGTCTTTTTCCTAGAAAAGTTGGTAGAGCGCCATTTATTGAGATCAATCACCCTTGGTGTGCCAAGAAGATGCTCGAGCATTCAACAAATGCCTTGTCTCGCACCTGAGTTCTGTTTGAACGGTGACACAATTTTTCTAATAACGCATGTCACAATATGGGAATTTGAAAAATTAATAAATCATTTAATATTAAATAATTAATAAATAAAATAAATTATTTTTTTTATTTTACCAAAAAAGAATATATATGCTAAGCCTATACCCAAGGCCATCTAACTATGATCTAAGCGCACGACTCGTGACCATTCCAAGCAGCGAGTCAAACGGACTGCGACATCACTCGTACATTTGGGATTTGGACTGAATCCAATATGATCTAGGTCCTTCCCCTTTAAAGACTAGTAGTACTCCTTGAAGTCTAAACAAAATCTCTAGGTAAGGATTAATAAATAAGCCATAGTTTTCTCCATTTTTCTATGTGGGACAAAGTTCGTTCATCCAGAACTAGTTCTAAACATTCAAATATACCAAACTCATCTAATCACGGAGTAGAACGTGTGCGACTGTTGTCGCATATAAATATTTGGTTAAAGATTGGTAAAATTCATTCTTGCTAACCCATATAAATAATTGCACTTGGTCTACGACTATTCAAATAGAAAAACGAAAAATTCCAAAGCAAATATGTCTATCATTTGTACATAATAATTCTACTTCCAGGGTTCAAACCTAATCTCTTTGCACTTCGGAAGTGGGGGAATTTGTATTAATTGCGGAATATATCACGTCATTGATGAACCTATTAAATTCAAGTGTATTTTCGTTTTTGAATGAAGACCGAGTATATAAACGAGTGTAAAGGTATGATACACAGAACACATTATATTCACTTTATACAATACACACATATTTCTATTATGTGAATGATATTTATATGAGCTTCGAAGGGCATCTATTGGATAACCCCAATACCGCCCAGTAGGTTTGGGCATTTTAATCGAAACTAAATCGGAATCAAAGGTTTCGGTCTGGTTCCAAAAAAAAATTTGGGAATTGGAACCGAGCTAACCAGAATCATGGGTACCTAAATAGAACCAATTTTTTTATATATTTTTTATTTTTTATAATTTATAGATTGGGTAAAAAAAATACAAAAACTAAAAACTCTAATTTTGATAGTAGTTTGTCTGAAACTCTAGATTCTAGCCTTTAAGAGATGATGACTAGCTCCCTACTTTTTTTTACCTCTTGCCTCACATTAGATTGTTGCATTTCAAAAGTTAGTACATGTTAACCTTTGCAATTTAGGTTTTCTATGAATGAAAAAAGTTCAAATTATGATTATGGTTTAAGTTGATGAATCAAAGTGTTCACTCTTTGCAATTCAAGTCTTTTTTATTTTCTTGCACTGTTTACAAATTTAAGTGATTTTCATAATATTTTTATAACACATGGCAATTGAACTTGGTATAGCTTGGATTGTGGTTTATCTTTTTTTGTTATCTCAAGTTCATGGTTCTCTTTTGAAATATATATATTTTTTCTCATTTTTACTCTAAAGGAGCAAATTTAATACGTGTTTTCTTGATACTATATAGTTATATGTCTAATTAGTTTTTTTTTTTTAATGTAAGTCTGTTTTAAAAGTAGAAAAATTTAAGCACCATCCATAATTAAATTATAGGCTCTAGCATACCTCATTTATTGATCGAACAAGAATTATTAAGAAAAAATAATTTCTTCACAAACTATAGTTTAATTTTTTTTTTTTTTTTTTTGATATTTTAATTTCTCCTTTCGTGATTTTTAGTCTTTACTATTTTAAGTGATGTAACTACATTGCTTAGCTTCTCAAAGCTTTCTTAACTATGTTTTCTCTATTGTACAAATATTGTCGAGCAGTAGCATGTAGGAATACGTATCGAAAGGGCTTATTTTATATATATATATATATATATATA